GACAACCCGGATTGACACCTCTAATCCAAGGTGTAAACAATAAAAGAGAACATATTTTCAAAAAATTAGTGCATGTATCCATGTAATTTTTTTTTTTGTCTCAAACAACTTTATATAAATATTTTATTTTAACTTTAACATTTAATGTAACATATAATATATTTTTGCAAAATACCGATGATTATTACTATGTGGAGGATAGTTCCTTTAGACAATGTCTAAAAAAAATATTTTTAACGGACCTAAGTTGGTACTAAATTTTTTTTTTTTTAACTTATTATTCCTATATATAGTCTCACTATACATAAATACATATATATATAGGGTACAACTCCAGAATTTTCGCATTTGATCCTTCCACACTGAAAAAGTCTCTTATTGAATTTTTTTAGTTGTTTGCATCCTATATTTATTTAGAAATTATTAAAGTCGGTGTTTATATTTAAGACCAACCACATGGGAAGGCCGCTGAGTTTTGTGTCGTACGACTTCCAGGTTTCAAGGGATAAATAGAAGACAAGACTCCATCCCATAATGTCTGTTTCGGGTTTCGAAACTAATTCATACGAATTAAGTTCGGCTTGTCGCTTTGCATATTTCTTGATGTATGAATAATGTGTTTTTTGAAACTCACGAACTTGTCCAAAACTCTTGTACGTCTACTCGATACGAGGATAGATACAATGAATTGTATGTGAATGTAATATGTATTATATGTTGTAATCAAAAGTCGTCAACCATCACAATGTGCATATATAAACAGATCTAAGAATTAATGCTAAATCTGAATATCACCTTAATAAAAACATGCATATATGAATATGGTACTTGATTATTTTATTTTATTTTTTAATCATATAAATATTTTTTCTCTTCCTTATCTGATTCACCGTTAGCATTGAACATTAAAAAATCTATCATTATTGAGTATTATTTTATTAGGAGTTTCTTTGAACAACATTATACTCGTCATTGACTTAATCATGCACAATTTTAATATTTTATTAAAATATAATATTTAAAATAGCTGGTAGTCTTCTCGTAGTAAAGTAGGCCCCACTTTAAGTTCTAACACAACTATAAATACAGAAGATATACAACCTTCAAATTCATAACCCAAAGCTACTCAAATTGTTCAATACGCACAATATATTTTTCATCAAAACAAAAAGGAGAAATGGGTCTTCTTTTCCACTCCATGATTCCGAATGCAAAGCAAATTCACAAGCTGCAGGCCTTTCTTAGAGGAAATCATCAATTTCCAGATGTTCCAAAGGGTTATCTCGCAGTATACGTGGGAGCAATTAAGAAGAAACGCTTTGTAATTCCCATATCGTATCTAAATCATCCTTCATTTCAAGATTTGTTGCGGCGAGCGGAGGAAGAGTTCGGGTTTGATCATCCAATAAAGGGAGGCCTGATAATTCCATGCAATGAAGATGCCTTTATTCTTCTCACTTCCCGATTGCATCTTTTATGATGCAAATTTGAAGTAACTATGTGAATTTTTATGTCCCCACTTTTCCAGTATCTTTTGTATTTCGAGGCGATAAAACAAAGAGGTAGAAAAGCTGATAACTTGTGTCACCGAAGAGTAATTCTTTCATGATTTTCTAAATCGTTGTTTGGAAAAAAAAAAATTGTTTATCTATTTAGCCCTTGTTTGGCCCCCATTAAATTACATTACATTACATTAAATTTTTTTCTCTCTTCATTTCAACCACACATTTATCAAATAAAATAATATTACACACAAATCAAAAAAATTTCANTTGTTTGGCCCCCATTATTTGACATTTTTTATAGTTGAAAATTTTTGGAATAGTGATTGATGGGAGAATGTGTGGTGGAAAAGTAATGAAAAGTTTTAGATTTGTGTGTAATATTATTTTATTTGATAAATGTATAGTTGTAATGAAGAGAACGAAAAATTTAATGTAATGTAATTTAATTTAATAGGGGTCAAACAAGGGCTTAATCCCTCTGTTCCATTTATATAGGCAGGTTTTGTATTTTCGCGAATTAAGAAATCTTATTTAATGTTATTGAAAAAGCAAATTTTGCCAAATTTTTTTCCTAATTTACCCTTATTTAATTATCAACAATTAGTAGTAAATTATTATTTGAATTTTTAAGGAATTGAATGATTTAGTTTTCAAGAAGTATGTATCTTTACATTTGTACAATTTCAAGATTAAGTGAGACAATTGATTATAATTAGGCAAATTAGATAAGGGTACATCAGTAAACGAACGAAACAATAAAGAAATATGACTATATAAT